GTCCGGAGGGACTTGAAAAGCGCTCTATAAGTTCAGTACCATTTATATTCTTAATAACTTTTACTAGATAATGATGAGTAAATATTACATGAATTTGTAGCATTTAAATTTACTTAACAAACATTAATGCAAATTTGTTAGAGGATTTTTTTCAAGTAAATCTTACAATTAATTTTTTTCTGTGTACATTCATATCAATAATATACATAGCCTACATTCAAATAAAAATATAGCTATCCTACATTCATAACCACAATACATGGATATGTCTATAGTGAAGGTGAAATGAGGCTTAGTTGAAGCCTTTAAATTTTTCTGTAAATGTGCTGTGGAATGTTTAACTTCACTAAGTGCTGACTTGATTTACTCTGACTCAATGTGAATTCACCAGCAAGAAGACTGCACACAAAACGCCCTGCTGTTACACACACGTTAGCCACRTTGACTGCGTACAGGAAAGAAGAACGCAGTGCTGCACAAACCAAAAAAATAATGGCACATGGACAGTGTACATCATGTGAAATTTACATGAAGAAAAACATATTGACTGAAATTTCTTTCTAGATCTAACGATATTACATAAACATCCCATCAACTCCACCCCACATTTAAGAGCCTTTTTTCTACATGCGGATCACTTCCCAAAKGATTTTAGGTGGCACTTCCTGTGAAATTCACAAAATCTCATTGTCTTTTTTATCACTGTATTTTTTATCTTTAGAAACCTAGTGGCCCAATTAAAAGAGCTAAAATGTTATGATTCTTGCAAAGTCATGCTGTTGTTTTTGTCACTGAACTGTCTGGGATATTGTTGGCCTTTTGATTGAAGAAACACAATTCACATATTGATTGGACTCTATCTGAAAGCCCAGAGTGCCTTTYTACTTGTCTCTGCACTGAAAAATAAAACTTGTTAGATTTACTTGAAAAAAATCCTTGCAACAATTTGCACTAACGTTTGTTAAGTAAATTTAAATGCTCCAAATTCATGTAATATTTACTCATCATTATCTAGTAAAAGTTATTAAG